GGTCCGCTACCAAAACCACGGTGAACATGCTGATGGTGATGGGATTACCATACTCTACAAGCCACTGAAGAGCTTGATGAGGGTTTCCATCTATGTCTTGCACAAGGTGCTTCAAGTAGCAATTGACCCTTCTCGTGCCGTTGACGATCACCCGAGAACGCCAAATCAACCCCTCGAGGAGACAGTCCAGGAGCGATGGTGCGCTGGATGCCAACTTCTTGATGACCTCTGGGTGTCGAGTAAAAAGAGCGTCGGCTCCATAGTAGTAGTTGTCCCTGTCAGCCCGGATCGTCAGCAGGTCCTGAAGCATGGCCTGTGCACAGATCAAGCTGCCGGACTCGATGGCCCAATACAGGGGAGAGATCGACTGCGTACCGACCGTGATCTTCAGCAGCTCCATGGCTCTCTTGCCACGCGGAGCCACTGAAATGGCCCTCCGAAGATTCTTCTCCACGTTGGTGTTAATGGCCTGCATGACCACCGTGGAGCCCTCCACCAAGGTCCGAACCTCATACATGTAAGCAGTGTCTTGTCAAGCACTCAACGTAAGGAAGCGGTAGAAGAAAAAAAGAGGGAGTGATGAGTGAAGCTACGCAGTTAAGTCTCCTTAGCTTCAGGCATTACCGAAGGTCCCTCACTGGAAGTTCTCACGCTGAGGTCAGGGCCATGATTTTTGCAATCAGCGTGAGGGACCACCGGAAAGCCGTCTCCGTCGTTTCGTCGGTAGTCACCCCACGGATCACCTCGACGGCTGCCGACACATAGGGCGAGAAGAGCTCGGTAGGCACACCATAGCCCACATGCCTCAATCCGAGGCCCGAGAGCTCTTCCTGGGTTCTTCTTAAGGAAACTGAATCTAAGTTACCATAACAGGGAACCGCTGAGGGCTCCTTTAAGGGATCTATAAGGGTTCCTTTAAGGAAAACGGAATTGAATTTAAGTTGCCATAGTAGGGATCTGTAGTAAACAACATGATTTCCTTTCTAGTCTATGGTACTTTAAGTTATATAAATCCCTTAACAAGAACCCAGCTTCCACCATCTTCTTAGGAGTACGGTACATCTCCACCGTCATCTCCACGATCTTCTCCGCAATGAAGAAGAGGCGCGTGGTGGACTGCTTGAAGAAATCTTGCCCGGAGGGAGCCAACTGGAAGAACCTCTTATACACATCGCGGCAATAGTTGGTCAGAGCCTCCTGGCGCAAATTTGGAGCTTAATGACTCCTCAAACTCCGTGACATTTCGATCAAAATCGGCATACTTTAAGAGTTTCGGAGCTGGTAAACCCTGAGTGGCATCACAATGGCATCCCACTCCTCTCAGGCAAAAGGCGTACTGTCAAAATGTAACCCGAGGGTCCGGAATTCGGGATCTCGTTTGACCGAGGCTCTTTTTTTGCGTGGGGATTTGATCTCGATTATGCTGCTGCTCCCCCACCAGAGCTGTAATGAATATAGGTGTGGCTGGCTTGCACTCTCCACAGACTGGGACCCTGTCTCTCTCACACTTCCACACGTGCAATCCTATGCAGGCAGAACCGGCGGCCGTTCCTTTTGCACTCACTGCCGGCGGCGGTTCGTCTGTGCAAACGGGATAGCTCTGATTGCTCAGGATAGAAGACACTTATAGCATTTAGCTATGGGCATTGACTTGAGCCAAACGTTGCGTGGGCGGTCACATAGAAAGGTAAAGACGAGGGACGCGTAGCGTGCCCCCTTAGAGTCGAGGGACGCGTAGCGTGCCCCTTTCTCTTGCACTTTACACGGTCTTGCTCACAGCTCTTATAGTGACACCTTAGAACTTGACAAGGCATCGCAGTCCGTTCGCACCCCCCATGAGTTGCGTCTCCGACGCTGCTCACCCGGAAGATGGCACGATAGGACAACAGACAATGTTCCGCCGCAACGTTGACATTGAAAATCAGAGCTTTGCATCCCAATTAGAAACGTTGTGACACTCATCTACGTCAGTAACGATCCCCTGAAATGGCAAACGAATCAGGGGTCACCGAAGAAAGAAGCATTCGCGATGGCATTCCATGGGCGAAGCTCAGAGGTCACGAACTGATAGGCGAGGAAGACCAAGCGTTGATTCATCTCCATCTTCGCGTGGTCGCAGGGTCGCGGTCCCAGGGCCGGAGGTTTTCCTCTGGATACTGTTCCCTTTGCTTTCCTTTGTCCTTGCCTTTGTTTCGGCCTTTGCCGGCGGTGTAGTCATAGTAGGTGTTGGCGTTCCAGCATCCATGCTGTTCACCTCCGGTTCTCTCACGCCCTTTTGAAGGTCCCTTGGCCGAAGAAGCGCTTGCACGTTCCTCCGTTGTGACAGGCGTGTCCAGGATGGAAGTACCACCTGGAGGGAGATAGTCAGCGGCCGAAATTTGGTGTAGGGCTTCAGTACGCTTGGTCGTCGGGTTTTGCTGTCTCTCAGCCTTGGATCTGTTCAATCTGTCCATGAAATGCGCAGGCATTTGCACATTGTGGTCCACCAGCAATCCAATGGTATGGACTGAATGATCGGCATGAGTCAGCAGGATACCGACGGGGTCGATGTACAAGAAGTCCACCGGTCCAGTTGGCGTTGGTCGTAGCACTGAGAATTGTTGGTGTCCTGTCACCATCGGAATCACCTAGCACAGGACGTTCAGGCAACAAAAGTGCATAGCCTTCACATCTTCATCCCTGTTGCTCTTCAAGTACGTAGTAGGGTTGAAGTTGTCCCTGCCAATTCCCATCATGTTGGCTACCCGTGTAAGCAACGAAAGCATCTGATTCGTCCGGAAGCGCTTCAAAGTGTAAGTCCCGTTGGGATCGTACTGCTTGAGGTTCTCAGGCTCCTTGGCAAAGCGAATGATCTCCTCGTCAGTCACATCCCTGCTCACACCCGTCTCTCTGTCTACCACAGCCAAAGATCCCCATTTTCCGAGCACATCATAGCGTTGGCCAAGTGCGAAATTCTCTTTCATCTGGAACAACGGCATAGTCGCCCACTTCGCGAATCCTGACCAAGCCTTGTAGATGGTTCTGCATACCACGAATGCCATATACGAAAGAGCGGCCATGTTGGCGTCGATGCAATGGGCATTTCGCTTTCCTGAGTAGTAGGATGGCTGCATGGCGGTACGTGCGAGTTGTAGTTAAGGATCGATGTTCAAAGACTGGCCGGCGATGAGGACGGGACGTCGTTCCTGTGCAACTGCATCTGGTACTGCGTCATCAAAGTCCTCTCCTGGCTCTGTGTCCATTTCTTCATCAGGTTCCTGTTCTGGATCGTCCTCCGCGATGACAGATGGTTCTGGGATTTCCTCAGGTTCCGCAACGGTCTCTACCTCCATGGCTTCCTGCTCCTCTTCGGGCGCCTCAGGCACTGCTGCTGCCGCGGCTTCCATTGTATGAGCAATGAAGTCACTGGGGATCTCCGTAGGAGTCTCCCGTTGTGGAGAACCCTGGTAGTATCCGCTAGAAACGAATTGTGACCAGCAAGACGTGCATCGGGAGAAGCATGCTGGAACGATGTTGTAGCATGCTGGGCATACCCTCATTCTCCTTCCATCCTCGTCTCTGCGTAGGTCTTCGGGTCGCCAATTCTTGATGACAAACTTGATCCCTTTGTCCATGTAGTGATGCCGAACCGTGTTCTCACTGTGGGACTCCAGGACAGTCGTAAGGTCTCGAATGATCTGCTCCTTGCTGGTGTCGTGGGGTCCAGGAGGCATCTCGCAAAGCAATTCCATGATCTTGCTTGGTGTTCGGTAGCTCTCGAACTCAGGGAGCAAAGGTGATGCATTGTAGTCCAACACCATCTCTTTCTCCAACCGTTCATCGTAGATCTTTTCCACCAGAGCGAAAGAGTGTGTATCTTGAGGATTCGGGACGCAAAACCATACCTACTTGACGAACTGGAACGGTATCGTTCGGCCAACGATCATGATGCCGCTGTCTGTGATACGTCCATCTTCTCGTGCAAGGTCCTGCGATGGGACATGAAGGACCGCCAGTGGCATGTGCTTGGCATCTCGTCCATGTACCCGCATCTTGGTCGTTGCATTCCGGTGATCGAACGGCGCAAACACCCCCCAATAGCTGTGGAGTCTGCCGCCTTGGTTGCCTCGAAATTGGCGCCTATGGTCGAAGTCCCCGTAGGGGTCCTCCGAACCAGGCATGATGCCTTGCGTGACAATGGAATCCAGGTTGCGGCATGCCGTAGCGTGGAACGCGCCTCCAAGACGTTGCAAGAGGGTCATAGATGGAGATATTGCGAACCTGTTCTTGTCCAACTGAAGCAAATTGTTCTGGGGGTCGGAGTGCGCAGAGTGACCACTCGTAGCCCGAACTGCCCATGGCTTCACCCAGCCGTTGCAAACGTTCAGGTACCTCTGGCTGTGCCGGCAACGATCATTGTTCTGGATCTCTGTTATCTGGTCAGGAATCGATACCAACATGTTCGAGCCTGCGGATCCAAGAGTCTCCGTGCCGGGGTCCTTCACTCTCACTCCCAGGAACTGCAGCCGAATCTTGGCCTTGTGGCGTCTCGTGGCTGCGAGCATGTTCCCCTGGAACAATAGCTGGAGTCTTTCATTGTACACTCTCTTCCTCTGTTGATCATCGGTCCTTGAGACCGCTTCTGTGATGCGTCTGCTGTCATGGGTCCATAGTTGCTCATGCCTCACCAAATCCTCGATCAGCACCCACCCTCCTTCATCACATCGAATGACGCTGCTGAATGCCACCTGGCACCTGTTGTCAAGCCATTCCGAGCCTGGGCGCCTGGCGATTCTATGACGCAGGTCAGATTGAATGCATGATAGTGCCCAATCCGCGTTCCTTCTGCGATGATGGGTGATGTTGCGAAGGACAACTTCGTTCACGATGTCCCATCGATTGTGGATGAAGCTTGCACCCTTGGTTGGGATCAGGTCGAGAATCCCGCACCGGATTGGCCTTCCGCCGCCGATGCATTCGTAGCCTGCATTGGTGTAGCCCTGAATAGTGTCATCATATTCAAAGCTAGGACGGTCTCCTCGTTGAGGTAGGCGTCGGTCGCGATGGTCCGAAAGCTGCTCAATGAGGTCCACCACCCGCTGGCTGTTCTCTGGTCCCATGTCCTGCAGTGGTACACCACAAGCATCATGTAAGCCCCGACGGTTCTCCACATCCGTGCAGAGATTGTGTTTGTTCTCGTAACGGATCAAGACCACATCACCCCGTACGGCTTCGCCTCCGCGTCGCGGTCGGGCTTTGGCCTTGGGTCGTCGGTCCGAGGATGCAACACTCACATGGTCTGTGGTGTCAACGTCCATTGGCTCAGCCTCTTGTGGAGGTACTCGACGGGGATATCGAAGAAGGCTTTCCTTGATGATCTGGATGCCTCGAAGTACCAGATCCCGGGTCGCAGCATTTTCCGTGCAATTGGACAGATGGTGTTGATCACTGCCACAAGCGATACAGAACGTGAGGCGATCGCTTCCGACCGACATTTCGCCCTGAGCGAGTACTCCCACATAGTCCTGAAGCTGCGCGACAAATCCTTCACGAATCATCTGCCTAGGATCAGGGTCTTCTGCACCTTGTTCTTCTTCGGGTTGCGCATCCACATCTACATCCTGTGCAGGTATTGGTGGAGCAACGGAGAACCCTGGATCGTCCGTGACGTTGTCAGCGGCCTGTGTCTCGTCGGTTCTCGCAATCTCTACGGGGTAGATATCGCCATCGACGATCACTGTGAAGTCAATCACGAGGTCAGCGGACATGTTGTTGACGATCTCAGCGACTTGTTCGTTCTTCTTGGGCGGTGTCCTCTTGCGCGGGGAGTCAACCGTGATCAGCTCGATAGCTTCGGCCGACGCGTAGCGGAAGAATGATCTTTCGATCCCCCTCACGCACGCATTTGCCCCCTCAAGGCCACCCCAATTTGGAAAATGACTTGGGTGTAATTGTAAGAAGCCCGAGTGCCAGCTCCACCGTGTCACCCAGGAGTTCCTCCTTGGGCAAGGCTGATCCTCTGTAGCATTCTTGGCGCTCCTCCGGAGTCAAAAGCATTCTCATGAAACCAGCATAAGCGCAGTTCCCGGCATCGT